TCATCTATTATGTATATTGCAATATGCCTAACACAATTGCTCAAGTAATTAGGTGCTTCTAATTCTCCTCTTTCTTTTTCTTTCCTTTACTGAGGAGGTGAAGTTATTAGGAGAGTAGTTTAGAGCAAAGTATACATTACACTATAGACTTCCCACAGATTAGCAGCATCAGCCATTATGTTTCTCATTTTTCTACTTCCACCTAAAAAAATCCATGCTCTTTTTGAGCTCTTCTTCTATTCTGCCTTTATTTTAATGCCCGCTGACTGCACTGTATCATAGCATCATTGCATTATTTATTTTTGATTATTTAATATTTCACTAGAATTCCATTCTCCAACTTACTTTAATATATTCCTATTTAAAAGGTGCAAAATAAGGAAGCTGGGGAATGAAGAAGTAGCTGAATATTGAATTTTTAGTCTGAAAGTTCTGAATTAATCTGGTTTAAAGAGTACTGACTTATCATGTCTATAATACTGACCAAGTTTAGAGATGACTTTTTTTTTTTCTGATAGACATTGCATAAAGCTTCATCATTAATAATTATTTTAAACCTTTTTTAAGTGTTTGAAAAATCACTGGGAAAAATGCAGGGGATTTAGAATTAAATCTGTGAGGCTTTAGCTGTTTTAGAGATTTTTTTTTTTTTTTTCCCCACTGTGCCTCCATAAGAGATTCCCTCTGTTAAGTCATCACTAAAGCAATCGTGTACTACTTAACAGAGGTGCTATTTTCTACTTCATGTGTCTCCCTATGAATTGTGCAAGAGGCATTAGAGAGCCCTGCCTTCCACCGAACACATAAAAAGGCATAGCAGAAAAAAGCTTTACAGATTTATTACGTTCTCTATGCATTGCCTTTCTGGGAGGGAGGGAGGGAGGGAGAGAATTGGCAGCGGGTCGTGCTGCGGCGCAAAGTCTGCAAGGACACAGGAAAATCTTTGCTAACCCCCAAAGATTTTCAGTAGCTCTGTAAAGCAGTCCTCATTATCATGAACCTATTTTTCAGGCATTACTAGGAGATAACGTTAAAGGAACATACCACAATGTCTGATTCCCTTTCCTCCTCTCAGCCCTTATGTCCACAAGTTCCAGATGGAGGGAAGGCAGGCAGGGACAGAAGCCCAGGGATGCTCCCCAGGAGGCAGGTCGCAAACATCTTTCCAGGTGGCACTTCCTAAAGCATGTCCTGCCACCAGCCAAGGGCTTCCTATGGTGCAATGGCAATTCCATTGGGAAGAGGTGCAAATGTTCCCCCGCTGAAGAGCTAATTTCTAAAGGAGTCTTACAACACCAGAAACCCCACTGCACCTGGGCAGGGAGTGATCAAAAATAGGCAGAAATGAAAGAAAATGCTTTTTGTCACTTGCTGCAGGGAACACGGTGCTAACCTCTTCCATGTTTTCTACTGCTTGATCCACGTACAGGATCTCTGTGAACAGCAGCCTCTGTTTAGGCAACTGCATCAAGCCAAGTGTCTGTCTGTCTTCAAATCTCATGTGCTGAGGACCATAGTGGCTGAGAAAGTGTAAATGCAGCAGCAAAGAATTATATTTCCAATAGAGTTCTTCAAATCTCATGTGCCGTGAGGACCATAGTGGCTGAGAAAGTGTAACTGCAGCAGCAAAGAATTATATTTCCAATAGAAAAGCTCTGTGTTCTTTTCCCACGTGCAAACAGCAAGTCACATGGTGTCAATGCAGATTTATTTTAGCTTGCTTGGGGGGAAAAAAGCAAAATAAAGAAACTGCAAGGGGATATAGTCTCATTGGCTATCGGCTCATCAAAAGCTGCGTGTATCATGTTTTGAAAGATATACCATCTTCAACTGTCATGGAGTTCAGCGTTGCTCTCTCCAATTTCAAACCAAATTGAATCTTAACAGTTGCAGAGCTGCCTACGTGATGCACCATGGCTTGTTTTTCCACGTGCGACCGCAGCTTTATGGATTTCTCTGTTGGGGCTGGCCCTCTGAAGAGCAGGCGTAATTGAGGGACTGCTCTCCTCTGAAATGCTATGCCTGGCTTCAACACTGTTTTCTTTTGGGGCAAAAATTCAACCACTGACATTATTAGGCTGAGCAACATAAGGCCTAAGTACTAATCTGAGGTTTCTTAGTCAGTTCTTGACTTCTCAGACCTTCACTGTTTTGCCATCTGCTATAATTGAAAATTGCCTTCTGCAACCAAAGGGAAAATCTAATTTCCCAGCAAGCCATATGGGGTTATTAAGATCATTAAACCCTGGTATGCCATAATGCCTGGGCCAAAAGGACCACAGGGCATGTAAATATTGTGTGATTCATTTTATAGCTTCAGATTGCAAGTTAGGAATTATTTTGATGGCTATCTTATGATGAAAAGTGGTGGTCAAGTAGCTTACTGCAGATGTTGCTTGGTGAGGTCAATCCTTGGCGTGTGTGTTCAGAGCTGTGACGGATGAGAAAGGGTTTTAATAGTGTTTGATAGCAAAGGGTAAATCTTTTGTACCAGCCTGACAAATGATCAGAACCCAGCCGGTGTCCTCAATTGTGCCAGCGATGCTAAAGGCAGCCTTAAATTTTGATATTAAGAAACCAGAATGTACAATTTCCACTTTACAGGAGGACCCAGATTTGGCTTCTAGCACAGGATCTATAGCTGATGATATAAATTGTACTCCTTTTCCTTTCTTAAGAATGGGAAAGCTATTCCCCTACAGATGCCTGTTCTTGAACATTTTAAAACTGAGAATTTTTCTTTATTTTCTCTATTTCTCTAGTTGTGATATTTCGTAAGATTTCTTCATAGCAAAGCTCACTTCTATGTATTTGATACAACTGTGTGTGAGAATATTAAAGCTGATTTTTGGTTAATAAGGCTTCAGAAATGAATGCAGGAGCTGTGAAATTTACATTAAATTAAAGAAAGAATATTTCAGTAAATGCAAATAAATGCAGAAATGAATATTTTAATTTGGATTCATGATTAATGCCAAAGGATTACCAGCAAACCATTACAATGTGGTGATGACAGAAAAACTCAATGGGAATAAAAATTCTATATGCACTAGTTAACTGATGGCAGTAAGCTATTTTTAGTAGGAGAGCTCAGAGTAATTTATTTGTGGGTTGTTTTTTTTGCTTTTTTTTTTTTTTTTTTTTTTTTTAAAACATAGCTATTGATTCTATTTCAAGTTTTGTCTTGATGATAACTAACTCTTAAAATATTTTTTACTGGTATACTATTATTTATGTTCCTGTATTTTACAATGTAACAACTATGGTCGGCAGATTTATCCTCATTCTGCAAGTCATTAAAAGAATTATGTTGAAAATAGGCATTCCTGATTGCCACTTCTTGTGATACATAACTAGAGTTAAGAACAAATTGTTATAATTACATATAAGAAAGAAGAGTGAAGAGTTTTTTTTACCTACTTCAGTTTTCTAGTGATCTCAATCTGGCTGCATTTCTTTTCTCTGTAGATTATGGTTTCTGTTTTTAGGACAATTGAAACCAAAGCATGTCTGAATAGGCTTTGGTTTCTGTAGCGCTGGGGACAATACATCTTACTATTTTGAAAGCACGATAATTTAAAGAAGGTAAAGAAAAGTCTTTCCTGTTCTAATTATATTTATACTGTCTAAAGAGCTTCCTCCTTAGTTTAGCATTCTTGGAAATCACAGAATAAGAGAGAGATTGTTACCAATTGTCCAAAAAGTTGGGAGTCCAGTCAAACTTTATATATGTTTTTTTTTCCCCTAACATGGTCTTTGAGAAGCCATGAAAAGATGTGGTTGGCTTTTAGTTTGCATGAGGAGTACGTGTTTTGGGTGGGGGTTATTTTGGTTGTTATTGTTGTGTTGTTTCTGTGGGTGGGTGTTTTAAATGAATCTCTCACTCTTCCTTGCTTCTTGTGCTCTGGTCCACCTAAGAAAATACTTCACCTGAAAGGAATACAGTTTATATGCCTGTTAGATATGGCCTGGGAGTACATCCAATGTTCTCTAACCACTCATGGGCATTCAGGTCCCCAGCCCAGATGGTACTTGGAAGTAGTCTGAAGGATGTACCCCCCCACAATGTGGGGGCACATCCAGGTAGCCACAGCTCTACAGCCAAAAGGTGCTTGGAAAAGGGGTGGGGATGAGTGAGGATGGGAGATGAAGACCTATGTAGTTAAATGAACCTGCTGCCACGATGGCATCGCTTTTCTGTACCAACACATTATTCCTCTCCACTGTGCCAGAGACTATAGGGATGTGCCTCCCCTTTTGTTGTAACTACTCTTTTGTGATTACATTAATTTGAGAGGATTGTATGAAAAAATCCTCACCCTGCACTAATTGCAGTGTCCATCCTAATACTTCTCATATAAGGGGGAAAAATGAACAGAGACCTCAATAATGAAGTGTTGCTGGTAGGACATGCACGCGCTTAACAGAAACTATCGTTATGCCTGAATGCTAATTAAAGACAGAACAAACCCAGCAAAATCCTAACTTGTCTGGAACTAATGGGAATTTCATCTCCTCCATGTGCAAGTTTTGTTTTTGGCTTCCTTATGTTGTACTTGTGGTGCTGGTCTTTGATGTGGATCAAAAGTGAGCCTATGAAGGAATTATGTAATGAAAATAATTTGAAGTCCTCCTTGATCTAATCTGGCTTGAAAAAGATCAAGAGTTCTTAATATCATTACTGTCACATAAGGTTGAGCCTGTTTATATTTGTCTAGCTGCAATCTTAAGGGTGCCCTGAACTATGTACATGACTCACCTGCAATATCCTTGCCTACTGCATTATCACAGCAGTAAAAAAAGCATGGCTATAGCAGGTTAATGTCTTAAATTTTGAGAATTAGTCTGATCTAACCATCAGTGCCACGTGTAACTAGTGTTTTATTGATTCCTCTTTTCTCATTATTAGACTGATTCTTCCTACACAGGATTTATTCATAGTCTTTGCTTAATTTTTTTTTCCAGTCTTAGCAGTGTATCTAATCAATATTTATTTTTACCTGTGTGAATGATTCAGAGCATCATCAGGCTTCTTCAGTTTTAAGTAGCAGATTACAAGCTTTGTCTCAATAAAACTGGCAATACTGGAAATATCTTCTGGAAATGACTCAAAGGCATCGTCTATAGCAGCACCTTTACTGCAAAGCTGTGCAAGAAACAAAATTATTTACTAATGTTATAATACACCTTTTGTTTGGTAGTAATGTTTCTTTGGTAACTGATAAATGGAGAAAAGTAAAATTAATCCTGATTTTAACTAGAGTTAGCACTACAAAAATCAGTACAAATACATGTGAGCATAATATAAAATGCAGTGTCATCTTCCCGGAATAGATAGCCAGAAGAAGAGCTAACAAGCTAAAACGTAAAAAACCCCAAACTGTTAGGAAAGTATGTATATTTTTTTTCCCATTTTCAAAAATAAAGGCTCAACTTCAGGCTCCCAAATTCCATGGCTACCTTGCAATGGAGGTTGAAGGAGGCATCTCAGACAGTTCTTTACTTGTTTCAGTAAGCCAGTGGTGAGTTCTGCCGTAGGCTCTGCTGCCTCTGTCCCACAGGGAGGACAGCAGAGAGTGATACAAGGCAAGGAAACCAGAAACTCTCCCCCTCATCTAATGGGAGGACTTATCCTTCAGGAAAACTGCTATAGAATCAACTGTCTTTCCCATCTTCTTGAGCCATATAGAATTGAGCAGAGCCAGTGACTTTCTCTTTAAATAATGTTCTAACTCATTATGTGCATAATAAGATAACCCACAACTCCTTAAGTTTTCAGAGTCCTCAGCACTGGCAGAGCTACGATGCTGGGCAGGACCACCTTTGGTCCTCAAATCTTTGTTTCATTAATCTACAGGAAACCTGATTGTTGTAATGCCAAAGAGTCGTAAAAATCAGCTTTTAGTTCTTAAGAAAATTCAACTGTAAGCGATTAGATACAACGGTAAACAAATAGATTAAGTCTAAGAGCCTTGTCTTTAAGGACAATAACCATATAGTGCTACTAATGAAAATGCAATTGAACGTCATTTGCTTGGATAAACATCCCTAACAGGATTGTTTAGCGTGCAATGATTTCATCTGACTAAGTGACTTCACTGCAAATCAGCTTTAAAAGTAGATTTCTAATAAAGATTGACAAATTAATATTAATCTAGGCTGTGTGCTTAAACTTTTGGATCCCACTGAGACCAGTGCTGAGGATGCTTACAGCACTGAGATGCAACGGCAGCCTAATGTGGATGAAGGCAGCCTCTGCTTTAGATGGCTGAGGATGCTGCACTGAGATGCAGCCTAATGTGGATGAAGGCAGCCTCTGCTTTAGATGGGGTATAACCAAGGGGCTCTCGCTTGAGACTGGTTTTGTGAGTCACCAAAGCTTGAAAACGGGAGGAGGAGGATCTGGCTGGTTTCTCTAGCTCCTCATCACTAATGAGTTTAGTTATAACAATTAGTTTCTTGTGCCTACGTAGTTAAAATCCAGTGGTTGATCTTTAGAGGGTACAATGTTAACTCAGCAGTTTGCGATCTCTTTAGAAGATTAAATGCGTCAAGGACAAAAAGCTGTTCTATATATACATCCTTCTTCCTGTATGCGATCCTTAAAAGCAAGAAGGATTATAGATCCCTATCCACACTTAGTACCTGCAAAGCTAACCCTATCTTTAAGATTTTTGGGCATTGGTTAAATATCAGCTCAATGCTTTACAGGCAACAAGGGTCATTCAAGGAGGTGTCCCCCTACTTCAGGTGTGAGAAGTACTTTTTTTTTTCCTTTCATATCCCTTCCCTGCTGAGCAAAGTTACACAGTGTGTGTAATAACACCCATACATTTAAGATTTTCTATCATCTTGTTATCAGTAGGAGTTATAAATCAGAGAATTCATCACTTTTAACTTTGCTCATGGTACCATATATATCTGCTGAAGTGTCTCTATGGATAAGACATGCTATATGTAGCTAAAAGACCCAGAGAATTATGTTCACATCAGTGAACATAAAAGTATCATCAAGTTTTTCTGTAATAACACTTTTCAGCTGAATTGGCCATGCTGTGACCTCTGTTAAATTTATGGGGATGAGAGATTTGAGGCTACTCCCTGGACTTTCAAGTTCTTGAATGATTGTGAGAAGAAAAGAATCATTTAGGCATCTCTTTGGTATAAAGTGCCGCAATTCAGAGTTTCCTCGAGTCTTACTGCTGATAGGAAGAGTTATGTTTAGACCCGCATAACCCCTCAGTTATCTTTGACAAAAACCAAGACATGAGACTCTGTAAACCATACCTGAATAGATAAGGATTCAGAAAATATGTTTAAGTACAGTGAAGATTGGGTTCTGCCAGGTCTTCTCTGAGATACCTCAGAGTAAGAGTTCAAAGAATCGAATAATAACTCAATCTTTAATCTCACAGAATCAGAGTAATATTTTAAAGGGTTTAGCCTGTGTTTGTGACCATTTAGGGATATACTTTTCATATCCCAAACTCTCCTGATTTTTGTGTAGCGTTTCTGCAGTCAATCAATGTGTTTGAGAGAGATCCCTAGTTCCAAACAAACAACAACAACATGCACCAAAAATAAGATTCAACCTAATTTTACAGAAATGGCTCCTTCTGTACTAAGCAGAAAGGTTATGAATATACAAAATAGCCTTAGTGTCTGGTGTTAGTGAGATGCACAACCTGATGTACTCCTTGGTGGGAGGGTCATTTTGGTAGCAATATAGACACCACTGTAAAGGTTTGTGTTGGGTGAATCAGCGCAGCTGGACAAGCACATTATTGTTTTTCAAGTTCTGATGGAGATGGTGCCATTTTTTGTGTGTGTGGTTCTTCACCCATTACTGCGTTTTGCTGGCACTTCTCCTGAAAGGAGTTTGCAGAGAGGTGGAGGTCAGTCTCTTCTTCCAAGTATCAGGCGAAAGGACAAGAGGAAATGGCCTCAGATTGTGCCAGAGGAGGTCTAGGGTGGATATTAGGAAAAACTTCTTCACCAAAAGGGTTATCAAGCATTGGAACAGGCTGCCCAGGGAAGTGGTGGAATGCCCATCCCTGGAGGTAGTTAAAAGATAGACTAGTGCTGAGGGACATGGTTTAGGGGTGGATGCTAAAAGATGTGCTGAGGGACGTGGTTTAGGGGTGGATTTGTCAGTGTGAGGTTGGTGGTTGGACTTGATGATCTGAAAGGCCCTTTCCAACCCAGGCAGTTCTATGATACTGATAAAAGGACTTGGCTATGCAGCAGGAGAAAGGACTGTTTCCTTTCATTGTCCTGTCTACCACTGGATATTGAGTCTGAGCCTTTTTGGGGGGTGAGGCAAAGAGTGCCAGAAAGCACCTGAGAAACCTCATTTGGGGAAGTTCCCAGGGGAGGAGTTTGGCAGGGAAGAGGCAGCGAGCTGGGATTTTGCAGCACAGATGGGGACATGGAGAAGAGTTGCAAAAGGACTCACATCTGAGTTTCAAAGGGGAAGAGAAAAAGAAAAACTTCCTAGGGATCCAAAGGAGCCTCTGTAGCTACAGATTGTTGTAACTTTGGGAAACCCTGCTGGACTGAGAGCAAGGGAAGAAGAAAGGCTGTGCCATGTACAGGCATAATGAGCAGGGAGGAGATTTGTTTGCAATTTTCATGTTTCACCCAGCAGAACTGAGTTTGCTTTATCTTGCTGTAGTCTGCAGTCCAATAGCACTACCTTTGAAGATCAAAAGGGCTGTTGGTGTTTTTGGAGTGCTTTAAGCAAAAGGTAAAAGCAGCTCCATTTCACTCCTCAGAATACCTTAAGGTCTTGTCACCATTCAATATAGATCTGGGCTTGGAAAGGCAGTTAGACTTTGTACCATTGAGAGTTTCTTTTCCCAGAGCGATGTTACAGAGTTTTATTTTCATTCTACACCGGCAAATTTGTGGTTACGTCTTTCTGAAGTTGCATCTTACTGTGAGCTTTTGGTCTGCAGAAATCTGGCCAATGTCTTAAAGGTTATAGAGGCTAGAAGCAAACAAACATTTGAAGTTTTGCAGCCGATCTGGGGTTAAACGCCTGCAATGTACCATTTTATGTCCTTTAGGAGTGCTAGCAAATCTAACAGTATTTTGTACTTTCAAACTTAGTCTACCTGAGAGTACCCCTGTCAGCAGATTGGAATATTGTTCCTGAAATAATACGAATAAAATCCTGCCAAAGGATATTTACACTTCCGTAGGGGCTCTTGTTACACCTGGAGGCCATCGTGCAGGTTGTGTGTACGTGTCTCGTTTAGAAGACTGCTGAGTTATCCCATCCAAAGAGTAACCAAGTCTATAAATGAAATGTAAGGAATAAAAGAGTTACCTGCAATTTTTGTGTTAGTGGTGAACTGATGCTGGTTATGTTATGCTTTCTCTGATAAAGGAGATTTCTCTTACAACATGTAGGACCCTGTAAATACATTGCTGAAACCACAGTCGCATAAAAGCTTGTGATAAAGTACTTTGGCAGAGGTCACAGAACAAGTCTTTGACACTGTGAACTTATGTGGTATTAAGGCTTTAATTTTGGCAGTAGCAAGCAAGGAAATTTTATGAGTAAAGACCTCCCAAGCATTAGGTAATAAGAGAGAAAAACATCCCCCCAGACCCACCATGGCCTGGGTAAAAGACCAGTGGAAATGCTGATCATTAAGATATCTTCCTAATTAGCATGTATGTGATTTGAAAGAATAAAATTAGAGCTCTGATGATTGGTACGTTGACACTTCGGAACTGTTTTCACTGAACTCAAGGTGAAAGGCTCAGGTGTAAGAACCTGAGTTCACTCATCATTACTATGGGTTTTGTATATGTTAAATTCAGGGTTATGGTTTGCCTTAAGGAAGCAGGTGCCCGATGGATAACCATCTATGTGTGTGGATATAGATACAGATCTGATAGTAAATTTAGTTTGGGGAAAACAAGTACATTTGGTCAATTGCTGTGTGGCAATGAGTTTCTTTGCCAAATTCCATGAGATCACTCATGTTTTATTCTGGCAGACTGAAATGGTTAAGAGTCAGTCTGAATACAGCAATAACCTCCTAGCCTTGCTGGAGTTGATTGTTTGCTTTTCCTTCTTTTCTTCCTTTTTTTTTTTTTTTTTTTTTTTTTTTTTTTTTTTTTTGGAGTGAAAAA